CTCGATCCCAGGACCCCAGGATCATGACCTGAGCCGAAGGCAGATGCTTAACGACTGAGCCACCCAGGCGCCCCTAAAAAAAGCTTCTTAAGGTTGATTTGTGGTTATAACAGCACTTTAGGCTCCAACTTTTTTTTTTTTAAGATTTTATTTATTTATTTGTCAGAGAGAGGGAGTGCACAAGCAGGGGGAATGGCAGGCTCCTCGCTGAGCAGGGAGCCCAATATGGGGCTCGATCCCAGGACCCTGGCATTATGACCTGAGCCAAAGGTGGACACTTAACCGACTGAGCCACCCAGGTGTCCCTAGGCTCCAGCTTTTAAAAGCAGAGGTTTATACTGGGAGAATATGACTGGCAGAGTGTCCTATTGCTTAGATCTGTGGCCTTTTTTTTTTTTTTTTAAGAGAGGGAAAGCTGAAATCAAGAGTCAGATGTTTAACTGCCTGAGCCACCCAGGTGCCCAGACCTGTGGTCCTTTTGCACACTGGGTTGTGGGATCGCTGGCGCACATGCAGGGAGGGAGGCAGAGGAAGTGTGATTGTGTGTGGGGAAATGGCACTCACCTCCTACTACTTTGTATTGTGCCTGATATCCTGTCTTTTTGTTTTTCTCCCTTCATCCAAGGGAGAATATGAAAGTTTTGGTTTGCATCCATCCTTGGGTACAGAGGTCAGACAGGACAATAAGCTAAGAATAAATAGGGCTTTTAAAACATACTTAGGTGACCCTCAGTTGTTTTAAGTTTTACTTGTACTAAAGTGTTATTTTCATCTTCTAAGTATTTTTGAGGATCTTACTATACTTTCTCAGGTTACATTTTTTTTTAAAGATTTATTTATTGGGGCACCTAGTTGGTTCAGTCGGTAAGGCGTCTGCCTTCGGCTCAGGACATGATCTCAGCGTCCTGGGATGGAGTCCCACATCAGGCTCTCCGCTCAGCGGGAAGTCTGCTTCTCCCTCCCGCTCTGTGATCTCTCTCGCTTTCTCACTCTCAAATAAATAAAATCTTGGGGCGCCTGGGTGGCTCAGTCTTTAAGCATCTGCCTTCAGCTCAGGTCATGATCCCAGGGTCCTGAGATTGAGCCATGCTTGGGGCTTCCTGCTCAGCGGGAGGCTTGCTTTTCCCTCTCCCACTCCCCCTGCTTGTGTTCCGTCTCTCGCTCTCTTTATGTCAAATAAATAAATAAATCTTTTAAAAAATATTTTTAAAAATTTTATTTATTTATTTTAGAGAAAGATCGAGCGAACGTGGGGTGGAGGGGCAAGGGGAGAGGGAGAGAAAGTTTTAAGCTGACTCTCTGCCGAATACACAGCCCCATATAGGGCTGGGATCTCACAACCCTGAGATCAGGACCCTGAGATCACAACCTTAGCCAAAACCGAGAGTCAAATGCTTCACTGACTGCCCCACCCAGGCACCCCTCTCGGGTTACATTTTTAAATCTCAGGAAAGCTCAAGGGGAAAACAGGTGGCACATTACATTATTATATATAGTACCATAGGTCTCCTACAGCTAGAAGTTTTGTCCACCAGGGGGAGCTGACAATAAAGGATTTGGAAAGGCTGTGTTGTAAGATGGATGTCCATCTCACTGTATTTCAATTTATTTATATATATATATATTTTTTTTAAGATTTTATTTATCTGACGGAGAGAGATAGCGAGAGCAGGAACACAAGCAGCAGGAGTGGGAGAGGGAGAAGCAGGCTTCCCGCCAACCAGGGAGCCCGATGTGGGACTCGATTCCAGGACCCTGGGATCATGACCCGAGCTGAAGGCAGACGCTTAACGACTGAGCCACCCAGGCATAAATCTCCCAGCCAAGCCAAGAAACGTACAGTAGAAAAGATGTATGCAAGCTTCACAAAAAGGGTACTTTAGAATTATTATTTCAGCTCTTATAAATAAATTAAAAAGAGACTTTTACTGCTCAGACATAGGCAAGATAAGTATTATATTGAAGTACATTTAATATATAAAAAAATAATGGGAAAATGAAGTCACTTTTTCCTTGATGTCCACATATTTAAATCATAGATATTCTTTCAGTGTGAGAATTGCTTGTGTCTGTGTAAATTGCTTTTTTTTTTTAAAGATTTTATTTATTTGAGAGAGAGAGAGAGAGAATGAGAGAGAGAACACGAGAGGGGGAGGGTCAGAGGGAGAAGCAGACTCCCTGCTGAGCAGGGAGCCCGATGTGGGGCTCGATCCTGGGACTCCAGGATCATGACCTGAGCCGAAGGCAGTCGCTTAACCAACTGAGCCACCCAGGTGCCCCTGTGTAAATTGCTTTTTAAAAAAGTACTTACTCTGAAGCTTTAAGAGATACAGATTCTCTAGTATTTTGAGAATCTGTTTTGATTATCAACTCTATCATTGTCCTCTTATTTTTAAATGAAATCTAATCTGGCATTTTAGTTACCCTAGTATCTTCATCTGAAATAATGGGTAGCCCTTAATTTAAAGCATTGTACATCTTTTGATTTTTTTTTTTTTAGTGGAAACTGTGAATGTTTGAGGATTGACTTTAATTCTAACACATGTTCTCCCCCTTTTTAGAGTTCAAGGAATTTTTCTATAAACAGTTCTAAGAGCAGTACAGCCAGAAATGGTGGCTTTCTCCTGTAAGTATGTAATTGGATGTGCTAAATTTAATAAGGAAATGGGCTTTTGTGCTGTTTCACTTAGGTTTTTTTTTGTTTCCACACACAGCAGTACCAGTATGAAATGGGTACAATTTTCAAACCTACACGTTGATATTCCCAAGGATTTGACCAAGCCTACGGTATGTACTCCCTATTTCTTGGTAAGGAGCTATATTAGCAATAATTTTTTCTCATTATTTCATTTGAGGCTGTTTCCCAAACACTTAATAAATAAGAATGTTTTGTTCTGGAATACTGGCAGATACACGGTATGCCTGAGTGAAGGACTCTAATGTCCCGGTGTGCTCATACCGTCTTGCAGAGAGTCAAGGAATCAATTATTTACACCAAATAACTAATTACTATGGGAATAAGCAGACTTGTGCTTTAGCTCAGCACAATGTGAAGAGTTGTCATAATTAATGATGCAGAATACTTGATCCTATGTTATAGAAAATGCTTTCCTTGGAGGCGTTAAGTCTTTGTTTCCATTTTAAGGCATTGAGCCTGGGCCTGGACAATCCTTTATTGTTCACAGCGAGGAAGAGCATTACCACAAGCAAAGAAAATCTAGAAGTAGCTGTGTAACCTTGTTTCCCTTAAGTAAAAACCATGATTTATCAACCCAGTTTTTGTGTAAATTGTGGTTTAAACAATCCTTACAAATTTTGAATCTTTTCAGTTCCACCCCTCAAAAATAATCTGTTTTAGCCATTGGTATGACTCCTTCTAGACATTTGTCTGTGTGTAATCCTCTATGCACGTGCTCACCAAAATGGAATTGTATTATACGTAATGTACTGCTCTTTTGATTTTTTTCGCTGAGTGGATATTGGATATGTTTCCATGACAGAACATATGAACCCTGGGTCTCCACGTCAGATGTTTGCATGGGCAGGCCTGTAAGGAAAGGTGGTGGGGTGGGCACAGTTGGCAGGCTGTGCCCTTTATAAGCAAGACAGCTACCACTTACTCCAGCCCCATGTTGCCATGTGGGAAGTTAGACCTAGTGATGTCACGTGGTCTTAAATTTTCTAAGCTAACCTGAAATCCAAACTTTTATTCCAAATCTCTTGCTTTTTCCTATCATGACAGATTCAGACTATCTTTAAAGCCCTGTAGGGACCAATCAGAACACATCTTGGAGCTCTGTTCCCTTTCCCTTGTCCCCCAAGTTATGATTTAGAATATCAGTGCGTTCTCTTCTTCCAGCAACCCTATTTGGGGTAATTGAGAGTAAATGTCTGGCTAGCTTCCTGGTTAATAAGTAGATCTCCTTTCAGGAGTGAAGTAATTTAACCCTGAATCATTGGATTAGTAAGATAAATTACTGGTCTAATAGATGAATGAAGGTGAATCTAATTCATCTCTTGGAAGAAAGAAACATCAGACCCATTATTCCTAAGATCTTTAAATGTTAGAGAGGAAGGGGGAGAAGTTAAATGTACAGTCAGTGCCATAACATTTTCATTAGAAATGAGTAATTTTTCTATTAGGGCAAGCAAAACATACATGAATAAAACCTAATAAGGGACGCCTGAGTGGCTCAGTTGGTTAAGCATCTGCCTTCGGCTCAGGTCGTGATCCCAGGGTCCTGGGATTGAGTTCCACATTGGGCTCCCTGCTCAGCAGAGAGCCTGCCTTTCCCTCTGCCTGCCGCTCCGCCTGCTTTGTGCACTCTCTGTCTCTCTCTGACAAATAAATAAATCTAAAAAAAAGGAAGAAAGAAAAAAAAATATGAATAGCGATAGCTTGCCTTTGTAAAACAACGTTTTATAATTTATAAGCACTTTATCTGTGTTTGCTTATTAGTTCCCTACAGAAGTGTTGTGAGTGATGCTGTGATCTCTAGCATAGGTATGACCCTATTTTATATATGAGCAAACTGCAGTGCGGTGAAATTCTAGGACTTGCCTGTTACTGTTCAGCTGGAAGAGGCAGTTTAATTCCTAGTCCAAGTCTTCTGACCTTCTGACCAGGTTACTTTGTTAATAGACCCCCCCAAATCCTTTCCCATTATATATTTGGGGCTTAATAACTATGAAGTTAGAAGGTTCCGTTAGTGACTTTGTAGGTTGCTTGAAAGTCCTTTTGATTTAAACTATATTTTAACAGATTGTAAGAGTCATTGTGGAGATCTGAATGTGATAGTAGCTAGGTAATTAAGCGAATGGTATTAAGATGTTACTCAGCATTTTTCTTCCCATTTATTAGTAAACTCTGAAATGGTTCAATTGAGGATAATACATGAAATTTTCCAATTATAAATATTAGAGGAACTGTAACTGAAACTTTTCTTTTTGATTTTAAAATTGTAGATAACCATTTCTGATGAACCAGATACATTATATAAGCGCCTATCAGTTTTAGTAAAAGGCCATGATAAGGCTGTATTGGACAGTTACGAATATTTTGCCGTGCTTGCTGCAAAAGAACTTGGTATCTCTATTAAAGTGTAAGTATGGGGCACCTGGGTGGCTCAGTCTGTTAAGCATCTGCCTTCGGCTCTGTTCATGATCCCAGGGTCCTGGGATCGAGTCCCATATTGGGCTCCCTGCTCAGTGGAGAATCTGCTTCTCGCTGTACCCCTCCCCCCTGCTCGTGATCTCTCTCTCATTCTCAAATAAATAAAATCTTTTAAAAAATAAATAAATGAAGTGTAAGTATGATCTTTCCTAATCTGACCTGTTAGCTGCTGTAACGTGATCAACCAGGAAAATGGTGCTGATCCCAGCTAGGTCTGAACCCTTAAAATAGCATAGAAACCCATGGTGGGTAGAGTTTAGGCTTGTCACATTATCCTAATCAGGATTCCTATTAGAATTTTTAAATACTAAACTGAGCGAACAAGGAAAATAAAGGGAATCCTCTCTTTAGCAATTGCACAGACATAAGGAGGCCCACGAAGCCCTCATGTCTGGACTCTCCATGGGGCAGAAGGGGGAATTAGGTGAACAAGCAATCCTTTCAGACTCTGATGATCTTTGTCTAATATAGCTATTGTTTCACAACTGCCTTCAGAAACATCACTCACCCAGACATTTCCTACAGGAGCAAGGCTAGCTTCATATGGCCTTGAAATCACTGCTGGGTCAAGTGTAACTATAGTAATCTCCCCCTTATCCGTGGAGGTTACACAAGACCCCCAGCAAATGCCTGGAACTGTGAATGGTACTCAGTCCTACATGTCCTTTTTTCTCCTATACCTATATGCCTATGATGAAGTGATTTATAAATTAGGCACAGTAAGAAATTAACAATAATTAGCCATGGAATAGAAAAATTGCAACAATATACTGCGATAAAAGTTACGTGAATGTGCTCTCTTGTCTCTCTCCCTCTCTCAAAATACCTTCTTGTGCTGTACTCACCCCTGGGATGATGTGAAATCATAAAAATGCCTGGGTGATGAGATGAAGTGAGCTGAATGCTGTAGGCACTGTGATGTCACGTTAGGCTGCTATTAACCTTCTGACTCACTCTGAGTTATCATCTGCTTCTGGACAGTGGTTGACCATGGGCAACTGAAACCACTGAAAGCAAAACCATGGATAAGGGGGGGGACTGCTGCACCTCTTTTGTCTTGTCACCTGCTCCTTCTGATGCCGAACAAGGCCCATTTAGGGCTTTGCCAGGATTGCCTTACAAGAAAACAGAAGGAACCCACGCCTTTCCCATAACAGACTTTTTAGTTTTGTGGTTATTGATTAATGTGCAGATTTCCCTAAAACAACGCACACAGCAACACACTGGTTCGACTCTTCACAGTTCATACATTTGGTCAAAACCGGACTTCGGGGTGGAGGGTGGGAAGTAAAAGCCAGAGGCATACTCGCTTGCCCTTGCGTGCCGTGGCTCAGTTTGGATCTCTGGGATATTTGTTCCATTGCTGTCTGCTGTGTTCATTTTGGCCCGAGCTTTAGGACAGCAGTTGTTACACCTGATAGCCTTGACAGCTGGAAGTCTGTAAACGGTAGCTAATGCCTATAATTGAGTATGAGCCTCACCTGCAGAACTGTGGAATCGTGCTTTGCTATCAGTGACTTGGGTTTTAACATCACTTAGCTTAAGTATGTTGTTTTGCCCATTGATTTTTCAGACATGAACCTCCAAGGAAAATAGAGCGATTTACTCTTCTCAAATCAGTGCATATTTTCAAGAAGCACAGAGTTCAGTATGAAATGAGAACACTTTACAGATGTTTAGAGGTGAGTTTATTTCAGACATTCAAGCATTTTTGAAATGCCCAGAAGTTCACACTAGCACATTGCAACTGTCCTTTAACATTGACTGGATGGACTTCTGTCAGTCAGCCTGTGACTGATAGCGATAGAGAAGGTAAATGATAGAAAATCACACTCAAAGCCGTCCTTTAGAGTAGTTTACACTTTAACTCAGCAATACAGATTATGCTAATTTTCATACAATATAAAACCTTGGAAGAATTTGGCTTATATTTCATAAATTCTAGTTGTTTTTGCATAGTTCTAGTGGTTCTTTTCACACACTAATCAGTTTTCCATGTCCACAGTGGGAAACATTAAGGTTTTTCATTCATCAGTTATTCATTTGTGCATCCAGTAGGGTCAGCGTAGTCTTGTGGTTAAGGAGAACAAGGGTTGTGGAGTCAGACAGGTCCAAGTACTGGCATGTACCAGCTGTGTGATCTGCACCTCAGTTCCTTCATCTGTGGAATGAGAGTAATAACAGTACGCATCTCGTAAGGTTAGTGTGAGGATTAAATGGGATACTTATCGAAAGCACTTAGAATGCTCCCATTACATAATGAATGATTAGTAAATGTTGTATTGCTTTAATATCACACTTGCCAGCTGGGTTCCATAGAGCCCTAGTTTTAAGGTGTTCTGGGCTGTGCTCCCCCTTCCAGCCAACCAGAAGATCTATACTTTTTTCCTTTTATTTATTTATTTATTTATTATTTTTATCTATCAGAGAGAGTGTATGCATGAACGGGGTGGGGGTGGAGTTGCAGAGGGACAAGCAGACTTCCCCCTGAGCAGGGATCCTGATGGGGACTTGATCCCAGGACCCCGAGGTCATGACCTGAGCCAAGAGCAGATGCTTAACCAACTGAGCCACCCAGGCATCCCAATACTTTTTTCCTTTTGAACTGGAATTCTGGGGGTGCCTGGGTGGCTCAGTCAGTTAAGCGTCTGACTCTTGATTTCAGCTCAGGTCATGGTCTCAGGGTCATGAGATCAAGCCCGAGTTGGGCTGTGCACTGGGCGTGGTGCCTGCTTAGGAGTCTGTCTTTCCCTCTCCTTCTGCTCCTCCCACCCCCACCTGGCGCTCACAATTTCTCTCTCTCTCTAAAAAAAAAAAAAAAAGTTGGAATTCTGTGTAAGATTTCATAGAGAAAGAAAAGCTATACTGTGGCGCCTGGGTGGCTCAGTCGTTAAGTGTCTGCCTTCGGCTCAGGTCATGATCCCAGGGTCCTGGGATCGAGCCCCGCATCGGGCTCCCT